TAACCTCTCATTTTTACATTATGAAAACAGCTGCTTGTGTATTATGCAACCACAACCGAAATGGATTGGAAAATAATAGAAATAATGAATTCTAGTTTTCTAAGCACTATTTTTTTTTCAACGGCGCCTCTTGTCCCAGACGTCACTCGCCGGGCAGAGAATACGGAATTGCAGACGCTCGGGAACAAAAGTCATAGAGAAGTGTGGCAAATATTGAAAAGTAGTCATTGTGCATCTCGCCAGGGAATTATAAAAAGAGACGCGTATTCATCACGACTCACCCATTCATTTTTTATTTTATCCGCTGGCACACGAGCCATTGTGCGCCGAGCGTTGAATCGACCACAATAGGTGAAACTCGTTCAACCCTCGAGTGCGCGAGGGATGGATGCAGCGAATGTGTATCAGCAGAAAATTATGCTGAATACACGGAGTGAGAGGGAGGTTGATGCCCCACTGACTCAGTCAATGCAAATAAATCGCATTACGCACCGATGCTCCCTTTCCATTAGCAGAACTTCGTGAAAGCCGTCTGGGTTTTCAAACCATATTCTAATTCCTTTAACAGTTCAATAATTTTTTAGGTACTGCACCAAGCATATCAAGCATAAAGCAGGTTTCTTTGGAACTTTTCAACCATGTTATAAATCAACAATATTATGCTATTTTATTTTCATAGAGTTCTTAAAAATTTATGCTCGGATATTTATTTTAGGAATCCTATATTCAATATTAACTTCCAATTCAAATTGAAATGTATGCAATCCAAATAACACTAAATCCAGACTCTAAACTTAATAATTTATCAAATTAGCTACAGTTCAAATTTCGCATTAATAAACCAACAACAGGAGGAGTTACAGGGATATCATTTTCTTTCTCTTTACAAGAATAACTAATTAAAAAGTTAAAGATTTATTATCCATGCGAGTTGCAAGAAACTTACAAACTTTTAGCATCAAGTCATATGATAATAAAAATATTTCTTTTATCTCATTAAATTTTGATTGAAATTAACTTCGTTTGTAATTTGAAAATTAATTAATCTGCACTATTTACTTTTAATTTTGGAATTTAATGAGTGGTTCTTTCAACTTTAAGATAAAGCGTTTAGAAAAATCACTGCAACAAATAAACTTTCAATATATCCTCAATACTTTTCTTTTCACAATGTACTGTTTTGGTTATTTTCCCTGTCATAATTGTTCTTGGCAGCTCTAGCTCTCCAGTTGAGCTCTCCCAGGACGCCTTTCATAGCCCACAATAGAGGCGATCTGAGCGGCTGCTGCTGTGCGATTTTACCCCTTTGGCACATAACATGCACACCTTTGCTCACGTACACGCCTCTTTGGTCTAGCATTCTCTCATTATTCAATTGAAAATTCAGAACGCACTCGGTAAAGCGTGCAGCGTGTGTTAAAAATAAACTGCCAGAGGCGCGATAAATTTTAATTCAAGCTCTCTATGAAAATAATGCGGCCTGAAATGAATTTATGTGGCAGACATCTGGTTTGGCCGGGAAAAAGCCTAAATGGGCCGCCGACTGCCGCGGCAGGGGTGCGCTTTTAGTCACACGCGCGTGCAGAGTACTGAGCACCTGTCCCTTGAAATTAGCGCGACGAACTCGCTCCACTGCCACTGAAATTTGACGCTTTAAGTCAAAAGGTGATCTTCTTTTCTTGCAAAAGGGGAGCGTTGATTAAATTTGGCTTTCATATTGAAATTAGATAGTAAACTGGTTAGAAGAATTCATTGAATAATCATGATTCATGATAGAAATTAATTTACCTGTATATTAATTAATAGTTTTTATTAAATCATAGTATAGAAAATGGAATTTTAGGATTTTTTTCATCAGGAGTAATTAAAGAAGTAATACAAACAAATTCACGCTACATTGAATATTCCACGTTTTTAGATTTTCTGAATTTAATTACTGGAATTAAATTTTCAAAGGCAACGAAACATTAAAAATCGCAATCGAAGACTTTTTTAAGCAACCAATAATAATCACAGGTTCACTTGCCTCTGTCCCCTTTGTAGGAAAATTTCCATGTCTAATTAAAAGTTTAGAGTGTCTGGTTGCGCGGTTCACTTTTTTATAGTGGTTCGCTGCCGCGTCGTTTTAAAACTTTTCTCTGCTATAGCTGCTTCATATATGGGGTATTTTTGGAAGACTTTATATGGTGCATGAAAAAGCGATTTTGGGCGTTAATAGACTGAGGTGCTGCTTCGTGTTTTGGGGAAGTGAGCACTTGTTGGTTAATATGGGACCAAAGATAAGTCTCCTGTGTGTTTTTGGTAAATTTATTTCTCCAACTGGTAGCCCAAAGGAGAAATGAGATTTAAATAGATTTAAAAATGCTTTTAAATACGTAAATTCTAGTTAAAATTTATAAATTAATTGTCAGCTATTTACGTTGCTACAATAGCATGCACTTAAACATAAAAATGTCATTATATTTTAATTATATAACGAAATGCTTTTTACGAAAATATATTTCAGTCATATTTGAGCTGTTTGTGCATTATTTAATTTTATTTCTTCAAACTATTGGCACAATGTAAATGACAATTTTAAATAACAATGAATTTTTAACTTTAAATATAGCATCATAGTTGGAGATTAGTTCTGATTAATTCATTTAGTGTGTATACTAGAAAAGTGAAAAAAAAAGATTAATTAATATGATTCTCACATTTTCAGTTATCTGATTGTACGATATCAACACTAATTATGACTTTAGGCAACTTCTGCGATATCAAAATCTTTGGCTTTCTTGATCCAACGTGACAAACAGTTTTTTTCTTCCTTGGAAATTTTTTTGACTGAAAACACACATTGCTAACATAATTTAAACTTGCCGACAGTTGCACGTGTTTTAATTAATTTTGAAAAGGTGTCCGCCGCGTGCATATTTTAAATGAAACATTTTGAAACGTTTCCCTGATGCGAAGGGCGTCTCTCTTCATCATCTCTCTACTCGAGTTCATCATCCAGCTGTGCGCGCGGAAAATAATGAAGAGTCGCGCGGAGAGAACGGGAGCAGCGAAAATAAAAATGCACACACACACACACACTCACTTGAATGCGAGCCCGAGGCTGCACATTCTTCGAATCCGCTCGTCGTGCATATCAGAATTATCATTACTCGTCGCTGGCGCCGCTCGCAACCCCCTCGGTCGGCGACACACACCCTTGCGAGCAAACAAGCACGTATCGAGCGGAAAAATGTAACGCTCACGTGTGTCGCACACATTATGTGGAGGTGTACATAAGTCGAGCAAAAAATGACTATACCTGAGCGAGTGCCTTCTTGGCGCAAAAAGAAATCGTCGAGTGCAGGCATTACCTATTTCAACGCAGCAATTTGCGTCGCTGAATGGGGCTGCGAGGGCTGCAAAAGGCGATAAATTGCTCCATTGTAATATGCGTCCCATTTTATATATGACCTGGAAATCTGTTTTCTCCTCCACGTGTTGATTGCACCGAAATTTTTGCACCTTTTGTTTATGGCCCACATCCTTGGCACTTTACAAGGAAAGGGGGGGGGGTGGCTTTTAGGTGAATTTAGGGCACGCCGGGGTCATAAATTTTATATTTTTATTTATATACTTTTCCAGAGAAAAAATATTACAATGTAGAATATTAAACATTGTGATAATTAGTACTAGTACTGAACTTTTGTTAGGAAATTTGTATTTTCCGTACTAATTTGATAATTATACGGACATTCAGAGATCCAGACGTATTTTTTGATGGGATGGGAAAGACGCACAAGATGACATGCATAAATTCAAGTGAAATTTTTAATTTTATGCAATAGTTTTATTCAATTGCTTATTATTTTTATTTAATGTTAAAATGAAAATAAATAGCTTTAGATATCTTTTTATTAATGGAAATGAAAATTCATTAATCGATTCAGAATTCTCATTGTAATCCATAAAATCTGCCTCCTTATTAAAAAATGAATAACTTTTCATTTTTTAAAAAGCTTTAATTTTTTAACAAGTAATGAAAAGTTGTCGATCGTTTCTCTGAACTTATCACAAACTCCTTTATATATTTGCAATTATTCCATCCCACGATTCGGACTCACGAAGAGCTCGTCTGCTGATTCAATCACAAGAGAGGTCGTATTTGCTTGTTAAGTACTGTACACTGGCAAACACACACATACACACACTCGATACGCAAATAAAAGTAGTATGGCTTATAACCAGCCATCAATTCAGTCGGGGCACACAAGCGACGAGTGAGAGGCTTAAATTCGTAATATGCATATTTGGGGCGCTGAATTATTGATGCGATCAAAACACAGTGAGAGGCAGCCAGGCACTGCTGCACTACATTCAGCACATTAAACGTATAGCTCAAGAGGCTGAGTGCACCATCTGGCTGATTAGGATTGCTTTTGCATTCATTCTGAGCAGATACGGATGCAGTGTTTAAATGACGAAGCGAGATCAAAATCAGCGATGTTTCAGATTGCGTCATTTTATTGTTTCCGAAATATAATCCAGGGGCAATTTGTTGATAGTTGTTTTTAACGACTTTGGAAATGGTAATTATTTCCTAAGAAAACAATTAAGAGATTATTTATTTTTGCTTTTTCATTAATAAACTAAACTGATGCCAATTGGAATTAAATTGAATAAAAAATAAATAGCATTAAAATAAAAATTAAAAGAACTTTAATGAGTAAGAAATTAAATGAAGAATTTATTATGCATTTTCATCAGATTTTGATTTATGTCAAGGAAGTGACAACAATTACTAGTCGATTGCCATGGTAACAAACTGCAATTACCAGATACCGTGGCAACCAATATTGTATTTACAAAAAGCCGTTACAACAATAGAAATTTAGAATTGCCAACCTGCTTATTCTAAAATTAAAAATTGATTGTTGGCAGCTTCCTATAAAAGGCGTAACGGTTTTCAGAATTCGCTCATTGGCAATTTGAATCTGAAAGAAGAAAGTTCTCGACAAACCATGGTTGAAATCACCTCCCAAGAACTCGTCGTCACCGCGCCCGTCCAGGTGTGCCCCCTTAAGAAACCCAGGGCCCCCAAGCGGAAAAGAGCTCGCTCGAAGACCCCAGGTGGACGTTCAAAAAGCCCTGGACGCTCGAAGTCTGGCCGACGTCCAAGGACTCGACGTTCCTCGAGCTCTCGCAGCCAGTCTTCAAAGAGTCGCAAGTCTTCGAAGTCTCGACGACGCTCTTCAAGGTCTTCGAAGAATCGCAAGTCTTCGATGTCCCGCCGACCTTTGAAGAAGCGACCTCGCTCTAGCTCTTCAGACTCTTGCGTCTGCCCGACCACTGCGAGTCCATCGCGCCGCTGGAAGGACCTCCCTAAATTGACGATGAATCTGCGTGAAAGACCAGTTCCCAGTCCGGTCTGGTTTACCGAGGAATGGCCGCGCCGAAAGAAGGCCAAGAAGAACTCGAGGGCCTCCAGCAAGACCAGGAGGTACCGTCGGAAGGTGGCCTTGCTGAAGAAGAACAAGAAAGGCAAGGGAGGCAGAAGGAAAAGGAGGCCTTCTCGGCAAAGGCCTTCTGGAACTACGATGACCAAATGCTGACGGGAGGCGAAGCAAGTTTCAAATTTTTGGACCACAGGGAAAATAAAATTTTAAATTAGCAGCGAAAACGCTTTTTCTTCTATGAAAAATCCACGATTTTTTTAATTTGTTCAAATTGAATTGTATGCACAATAATTTTATTAGAATTGGAGCTAGGCAACAGGAGTGAAAGGAAAAAAGAAATATTTAAAAACTAAAAAATTCTCATTAAATCATTTATAGAATTCAAAATTCTTTTGATTCTGATTTTTTTGCCAAACAATATGAAATATTTTTTGATGCATTGTTGACATTACTGGTCACAAAATTTTTCATTTATTTTGAACGCTTATATTCGCATTGTTGTTGTTCAACGGTTTTCTTTGCGCGATTTCAAATTCAGAGCAGAATATTCTGAAGCCTTGTGTTTTTGAAGAAATTTATAAAAACCCAGTTCTACTATAGAGATTATATGTTGAAGATTTCAACATATTGCCTGTATTTTTTAAATGCAAATCAAATTGAAATTAAAATAAATTGAAGAAACATTTTGGAAAATGTGTTTCAATTTTTTTTTTTACTATAACAAAAAGTTTTTTTATCATTTAATGTCTTAAAATAAGTAATTTGCAAATCAGTGTATTTTAACGTTTATATTAATTTTTTTTTTTTAATTTGACTACTTTTTTAGATCACAGAATTCATGAACGTACGCATTTAAATTCAACTATTGATATTGATATGACGAGTCGGGATGAAATCTGCGATTAGCTGCTGCCGCCTGCTTGTGTGCGTTCACCCTATTTTGATGCAGGAGCCCTTGAGAGACGTTGTTTGGCGAAGGGTCCCGCCGTGTTCTTTGTCTAAATTCCGCGCCGACGAGAGCGGGCGGCTCGTCATTTCAAGAGATGCGTTCAAATTCAAAACTTCCTGCGCGCCACGTGAGACTTTTTAATAGAAGCAGAGGCAATCTGCGCTCATGTTTCGATGAAGATAATGCTCATGCCTTGATAATCCGGCGCGATGTAAATAGCGGTGCAGCCGATTTTGATTGGAACGCGTGCTGAGCAGCGATTTTTCGCCACGACGAACATTTTGAATGTGAATTGAGCTAATTTCGCACAGCATGTGACTCACTCGTGTTTGTGTTTATTGGCCTGACTCTGAATTGTAACTCAAGGACCCATCTTTTAATATAAGAGGAAGGGGACTTGAATATCCTCATCCCATATCTGATAGGAAAACATATATAAAAAAATTAAATGTCTTCGAAACTATATTCAATCTTAAGTTTTATTATTATTTTAAAAATGTTTAGTAAAATAATTTATGTTATTCATATGATTCATTTAATTATCTATAAACTCCTTCCTTCAATCTTTAGGTATATGCAAAATTTTGAAGTGAAAAACTTGGCAGACTTGAAAAACAATTATCATTTTTATATAGTTGCAAAGTTTCAAAGCATTTTTACGTGGCAGTCATCTTTGATTCGTTTGTCTAATTGTCTGGGTAAAAGACTGTGCCACTTTTTGCGAGAATTTAGTAAAGCCCGACAAATTGGTGTCAGAAAAAAATTTATAAAACATCCTTTTGCGAAGTGTTCCTGTATGAATTTTATGCGTAATCAATGTAAATTCAGATTATTTCAATTCAAAATATCCGTTCAGTTTTTGTACAAAAAATTAAAAATTAAAATTTTGTAAGTGCTTCTTTTTGCATCTGGCATTTATTAGAAAAAAAAAATCAGTAAATGCTTAAATCTGCACCTCGTGAAAGTTTCAATCCATGTGTTTAGCAGTGGCGAGTCCCGATACAGTGTTGTGCAGTATGCTTCTTGTGAATGAATCCTATTTTATTGCAGACGTGCAGAAAAAAACTCATTCGACATGCGGACTGGTCTCTCTCTACCTACAGCAGCGCTGGCCCGGAGGAGTCGCTGCTTGTTTCTTTGTAAAGGGGTCCATTCTGTGTGTATGTGTGTGCGTCTGGTGTCCCTCATTCTCATCGCGCCGTGTGTCAGCTCGAAACTAATATATTACGCATTCACCGCCAGTTTGTTTTTGTAGACAGACTCGGCGTGTATAGAAAATACCGCCTGCTCTTTGGTCTCGGCGCCTATTAGGCAAGAATTTGCTGAAAAGCTTCAGAGGTGCTTTCTGTATATTTGTTCTCCGAGGAAAGATGCTGGTGACCAGCGAGCAAGACTGGATTTTTATCCAAACAATGCCCTACTGAATAAATTTGATCGTGAGTGCGCTCCCTTTGTGTGTTTTGCGGAAAGAGGAAAGATACGCTCAAGATTAAAAATTCTTGGAACTTTACTTTGCAGCAAGAATCATCTTGCTCTGTTTAAACTCATTAACATAATACTATGCCAACCGCAGAAAGTGAGGGATTTTTGCTCTGGACATGTTGAAAAAATATTTGAATTTAGCAGTTATAGAGTGGAAACCCTGATTCAGGAAAATTTAGTGCCTTTTTTTCTATAACTTAAATTATTATATTTTTTACGCTTGTTTCAAATTCAAATTATGGCAAATTAAAATTATCGTAAATCCAAGCATAATGAAATTATTTTTCATAAAATAAAGTCACGGAACATTATTATTATTTTTTTTTTTTTGAAATTGTTTTAAAATTCTAATTAATTTTGAAAAAACCTACATTTTTTTGTTTATTTCAAAGCTTCATAATCTCATTTTCTAACGTGATTACTAAAGTACTATAATTTTATTTTAAAATATGGGTTTTAATATGTTGGTTTCTATATTTGAAATAAATATCTCTCGACTTTTCTTAAAAAAGGTTTGGCTTACTCAACTAGAAAAATATCTCAAGAGGTATGATGACGTAAAAACGCTCTCATCTCTGCTGGAGCTGCCAATCGTCATGATTATATATTTGAAGCCAATAAAAGCCCTCTTGAGATTCATAAAAGACCCACGAGTGCATAATAGGAAGATGACCAGAGATAAAACAAAAATAGGCTGGTCGAGTTTTTTTCTTTTCCTTCACTCTTGAAAAAACCAAGCCTAAGTCAATATCATAAGGGTTGCTTGTTGAGCCTATAAAGGAGACGAAAACGCTTCAAGCAGTTCAAGCGCAGATGAACGCGTCTTTTTTTTAACTGAAGAGAGTTTTGCTTTGTCGCTGCGTTTGCTCAGCAATTATCGGCGAAAGGCAAACCTCGGGCGCTTATTTGCCTAAGAAATTCAGACGGCACTCTTTCGTATCGGCAAAAAATCTGGACGGTTGCTTTTGTTTGATCAGCAGAGAGGAGTCATTGAAAAAAATCGGAAGATTGACATATTGGTATTTCAAGCATCACCTTTTAGTTCTATTGCTATTTATGTATTTTAATGTACTAAAAAAGTCATAATAGAAATAAATACGTGGCGAAATCTTAATTTAGTTTGGCTTTATTCAATTTTATGTAAATTCAAGCTGTGGAATTAGTAAAACGTAACGAGAAGAACAACTGAATTTTAAGTATTTAAATTGATCCCCATCATTATTATTGGCAATACAATCGTATTTTTTTTTATGAATCTGTTTTTAATTTTACGTATTACTTTATTTAAATTATCAATTTTCATCAAATTAAAATATTTCCACATCAGTAAAAATGATGTAAACAATAGTATTTTTTAAGTTTTAAGAATTAAAAAAAGCAACCCTGAAGTTGTTAAACCGGATAGATTATAAAAATCGATTAAAAGTTAATTTATGCCGTCGAAATAACATTCAAAATCGTATGGCTAATCGGGTCCACTCGTGTTAGGTTTGATAAAGACAGGCTTTTGGCCGCACCGTTTTCCAACAGTCATTCTCACCCCCGAGGGCATGGAAATCGAGTTTGCAGATAAACATCTGATTGGATTACACATGCAGACGTTTTAAACGCGTTTAACTGCCGCTACCCTCGCAGCTAATTGCCCCTTTACTTTTGATTTGGAGTCGCAACAACTCTCTCTACCCGCTGCAAATAAAAATCAGATTTCGCAAAGCATTGTTCATTTTTGCAAAAAGCTGTGCGGACCACGTGGCGGGTGCTACCGCGACGAGGGGTGCGTCCGCGAGGGGGAGGAATGCCTACCGCGGGGGTGCCTTTACGAGAGACGCGGCGTGTGTGTTGTAGGAAATAATTTTCCATCCCTCTCCGAGAAAAGTCTTGGCGTCTCTGAAATAAAAAATGCTTTTAGCCGCGCGATAATTATCTAAAAAGCTCAAATTCAAAGTGGATGCCGTGAGCAGCTGAAAAAAGCGACGCATTTTTCATTTGATCTAGAAATTAGATAAGTAGGCGTGAATTTTTAATTTGACTGCCGACACTTTTCCAAAGTAATTGCCTGGTGTCGTTCACGCGTGTTTTCGCTGTTACGGCTGACAGAGATGAAAGTACATGCAGAGCTCGTAGGCGCTGCATATTTTTAATTCAGATGCACCCCACGAACAATTTATCTGCACTCATTCAAATGGAAGTGCATTTTATCGCTCATTTTACGACACAATAAAATTGCTGCGCTGCCACCAAGCAGTCTGGCTGTGTGTACGCCTCATCGTAAAATTCTATTTATCATCCAAAACGCGTGTCACCACTCTCTTCACTTGATGCTGGAAAATATTTCTTGTCAGCTAACCCTGCAACAGCCTCACTTTATTTTCATTTAGAATTTTAAAAATTTCAAATGAATATAAATAATAATAATAAATAATTTAACTTTTTTAAGCCTTCTTTTTACATTATTATTTTTTCTGTTTAATTATTTATTTAATAATCATGTAATTTTTAAGACAATTTATATTCAATTTATTTTGATGTTTTTCAAATTGATTACTTTAATTATTTTTGTTTTTATAACGCATATAGATGCAATAAATATTAATTTTTAAAAATAATTATTTTATATGATTTTAGTATGACAAAAGTGAGTTTGAATTGTTCTGTTACTTAAAAATCAATCTGTACATATAGATATTCAGTGCAATATATCATTCATATTGATAATCAAATTCCAATTTTCATAATTTTAATAATTGATTTGAAAAAGATGAAATTGAATCTTTAAAAACTAAAAACGTGTCTAATTTTTGTTGCAAATAATATTTAATGATATATCACAGAGGCAATTACTGCCTATTTTGAGATACATTGATAAAAATTCAAAGTAATTACATTTTTACTCTCATTAAGAGTTAACAAACTTTTACTGATACAAAAAAATTTTGAGAAATTTCAAAATTTCAAAATTATTATATAATAATTTTGGTTGTAGATTCTGTTTCACAATTAGGGTTCGATTTATTAAACTTGCTTTAACTTCATTTAGTCTCATTGTCGTGTATGAGATTAGTTGCAAATTAAGTTTATTGGTGTACCACAGGGAAATCTCTGCCTATAACGAGATGTATCATCCAGATAAAAAAATATATACGCATAAACATTTATACAACATATATTAGATTAGCCAAAACCATACAGATTCAGTTTCAGATTGATCCTTAAAATTACTGACAATTTTATAGTTAATATAAGCTTTTGTTTGCATCATCGTTCTGTAACATAATTTTCCATCCAAATAAAAACAATTTTCAGCAAAAATTAAAAAAAAAATATATATAATTTTTGATATCCATACCCATAACTTTAGCAAACTGTTTTAAAAATTATTATTTAACGCTGCATTGATATTTTAAAATTTTGTACAGGCTTTCGCATAATGCACTTAATTTTTCCAAAGAAAATCAGTTTTCGTGTCAAACACATTCCCACTGGCACACATATCTTGAGAAAATCCTTACAGAAGTGCAAGGTGTTGCGACAGAAAATCCATTAAGTTCTTCAGCAAAATATATTATGCAAAAAATATTACACAAAAAGGCAAAGAAAGCTCTCACTGTTGATCACATGGAGTAGCAGTTTTTTTTTTCGGGAAAAATTCCCCGCGCTGCTTTATGTGGAGATGATTCACAGGCTTTAATATCAACTTTCAGGGGGTATGGATACAATGCAAAGACGCGCGAAAAATGGAGAAGAATCACAAAAAGGATTTATCAAACGAACATGTACACAATGATCGAGAAAAGCTGGGCCCGACAATAGACGTCAGAGTACTACATAAAACAGAGAGAGCGCGCAGGATGAAGACGAGAGAGTGCGAAAGAGCACAGTGATGGATTTTTAATGTCTTTTCGCCGGCACATGATCTTATAACACTTTTATATACGCGCTCACGCACATTTACGCATCAACAGCCGCCTATGTATAAAACTCGACTTTGGCGCAGCTTTTTCCGGCTCCTACACTTGGTGTTGAATTTTTTAAAGAGAGATACGCACTTTGCCACATAATTTTTACTTCTATATAAATTTTTCATAAATAACTCGTGATATTTCTAAGAGACCATCAAAATACATGAGGGCTGATTGACAATTTCTCATTTCGATATGATTAAAAAATTCGAACAAATTTCGTATAATGGTGGCTCTTGAAATGCTCTTCGAGGGATAAAAAAAAATCCCCCTTTGGACAGCAGTAATATGACAGTGCGTCACATGAAACTTTTTGTGCAGTGCTGTCTATGTGAAATCGAGAATGACAAAACAACATGACAGATATATGAGGGTTGCTGGTTCTGGACGTAACTAACCATTTCACTCTCCGCAAGCACCAAAAGAGAGGGTGAATTTTGTTAGACTTCACATCACTTCACATTTTGTGTGTGCTTCTGATATTATATAATCCACAATGGATATTTTTTAAATCATGACTTTAAATCCTCCGAAAATGTCAAATTTTGAAAACCAATTCAGGATATCATTTGAAGCAAATTAAAAAAAAAAATATCACATGGGTTTTCGATTTTTTTTTTTAAATTCAATCTAGCAATGATTACATTTTTGGCAATTAAAATACACATGAGTAACTAATGGTAAATTAGAATCGGCGAAGAAAATTTTCCCCTGTTTTAATTTTTCAAAAGAAATTTAGTGTGAATTGCGAGCAGTGGTTTTCTCGCTCAGTTTCTAAATCCATGTTAAATTTATTTTATAAAAAAAGTCATTTTAATTTCGGCTTTGTTTATTAATATTGTATAATAGCATCATTGAATTGATTAGAATTTTATTTTTCTCCTGCAGCAAACTTAAAAAGGTATTTTTCCAAGCCCTGAATAAAATTTGAAAGTAATTAACTATTTAATTTTTATAAAAATAATTTTTAATAATAATTCTTTATTGTTTCAGACATCGAGGCAACGGCCAGGTCAACGAGATGGACTTGGTGGTGGCCACCCCCGGGCAGAGGGCGCTTCCTCAGGCACCCCCCGGACGCAAGGCGGCTCTGCTCGGACCCGGGTCTCGAGCTGGACCGCAGCGTCGGCGCCACACGCCCATCCCTGTGCCGCCCCCGCGTATCCCGTCGCCGATGCCGCCCCCGGGCTCCTTCAAGCAGCACCCTAACAGGTAAGAAAAAAATGCACTCGTCTTTTTCGCCGACTTTTCTGGATTTTAATTAAGAGGGCGCCGACGTGCTTCTTCTTTCGGAAAAAAATAAGTCGGAATTGAAACCGGTGCCCACTTGAGAGGCACAGCAGTCTCCTGCGTGTAACATTTGCTCGAGGGTAGTTACCCCCGCGTGCTCATCAAGAGTGCCTTTCAATGAAGTTTTTATGTAGGCCAGCAGCATCCCTCTCATTTCCCTGCGTTTTATATTCACTCTTGGGATTTTCTGTGACGCGCCAGAGCTTACAATTTCAGCCGAGTGTAGCGACATTTTTTTTTGGCGAAAAAATTATATATGCCTCTTCACGAGCAAGAAGTGCTGGCTGGTTTTATGACCTGGAAAATCTGGTTTTGGCAAATTTCGGCGTCGAGCACCACTTCCATCAGTCAGGATTAATTTGCATGGAAATTCAAATTACTTTCGATTAAATTTTCATGCTAACATTCTTTGATGAAATTGAAAGTAATTGTATCATTTGTGGATTTTAAATTTCATAATTAATTTGAAAATATTATTAAAAATTGTAATAATTTTGAAACATGAGCATGTAATAAAAAAATGCTGAATCACGATGCGTGCAATGAAATGCGGGTTGACACTTTTCTGTGGCACCTCAGGAATCCTCCAAATCCGTAAATCCGTCGGCCGTCGCACAATGGTTCGGGGATTACGCTAAACTTGAACATTCATAACAGAAATGTGGAGAACAGCGCGTAATACTTTTGTAAAATATTCTTGGTCCGACCGAGCATTATTCAAGGGACCTTTTTGTGCTCCCTCTCTTTTCACGCAGCTCACCTCTCAAGACACAAATTACAATCCAAGGAAAACCTGAAATTTTTTACCACGAAATCAAATATACGTATTTTCCACAATAGGAAATAATAATCCTTCCACCCGCTTCCACCAGTCCTAGATTTACGTATGACTAATAATAACAGAAATCGAAATTCGTATACTCGCGTCTGCCGGATTTGAAACCGAGCTTTTTTGTGGAGGCTGCGGAGGAAGAAAATATGCGGTGCCGTGCATGTGCGTCTCGCTTGTGTGTTTATTTGCTCGAGAGCAAGATCGGAAAGACTGAAACACGTGCCCTTCCTTGCTCTTTGGCTCTCGTACATTTATACTTTCTGCTCACAAGACCCACGCTCGCTTTTATTCTGGATATAAATACATGAAAGGGAACAAGATAAAAAAGAGGATAAAACTCGACATTTTTATCGAGTGTTTGTTTGGTTGATGCGTTTCAGGGTGTTTTCTTTAAATTTGGCTCTTTTTTGGGGCGGATATCCGAAGACGGGATGTTTTGAGGCAAAAATCAAAAGGATATTTCAATTACATTTTGAGAAAAAATGAAAAATGAAACAATATTAAATTTTTTATGGCGTACAGAAGAAGGGAAAAAAATCTCGTCTTTCAAAATAAATATCCCAAAAACGACTTTTTCTGCAAATCCAAAACTGGCTAATTAATTTTTTGCTTAAATGAAATGCTGTGTAAAATAATTAGCTTTCATAACTGTCAACCGGCAAATTAAACGCGAGCACTCGACGTCAAGCGCGGACAAAACATTCCATTATATTAGCGTCCCCCAGCGCGGCAGTTGAAATCGAATCCAACTGCTACTCCGCTACATGCGCGTTTGTTTGTAAATTGAATATTGCCATAAGTATTAATTGACTCCAATTACTTCGAATTAAAATCGCCGCAGCTTGTTCTTGCTCACTCAAATATGCGCCAACACGGCGCGGGTGGGCATTTAAATGTATGCTGGTCCTTATAGATGCTTTCTCTATACTTGGCTTGCTTCAAAATTTCAAGTATCCAGTAATTAATTTGTAGTATATTTTATCCTGAAAGCTGCTTTTGTAACAGAAATATAGAATGAGCAAAAGTTCTTATATACTTTTAGAAATTGCGCTTATTAAACGTTTTGCATGGTTTCTTGATATTTATATTGCTAATTAGGGGTGGGGAGAATTTATTTAAAAAAATAGGTATTTTTTGAATCGATGAAAATGGCTTTTTCATGGTTGTTTTTTTAATGAGAAAAATTTGAAATTAATTATAATGCGACTTATTTCAGATTATATTATTTTTTAAATGATCCGTGCTGTTAAATTATTGTTGGTGCGTTTGGTGAATATCTTTCTAATCGGCCTTAAAATTGTAAACTTTACCATCTGAACGCTTACTATTTATCAGTGTGTAAAGAGATGTAACCATTTTACTAGTTTAGTGTTCAGTTTTTTATTCTATATTACATTAATTAAATTTTAAAGAATCCTTATATTTTCTATATACATAATCTTACTAATAGATGGCTTTTTGATATATTATATATTTAATTTATTTTTTTAATTACTCTATTTGATGATTTTACTTTACACTCATGATCCCTTTGCTTTTTTGAATGTAGATCTTTAATTAAGGATGCAATGCAGTATTAATATTAATCAAAGTTGTAGTAAAATTTTAAGATTGATATTAATGGTCAATAAGATGAAGTGAATTTTTTGTAACTTAATTATATATGTAGATGCATTTAGCAATAGTCATTAAACAGTAATTAATGTATAAATGCATAATACACAATGAAGAAAATAAATAAGCACATAAATATTGTTGTAATTAAGAAATAACATTAAAAAAACTGACATAGTGCACATGCAGTCAGAATAATGCGTATTAAAAAATATTTTAACCGATTTGTTATTAAGTGATAAATTTTCCCCGTGAAATTAGCCGACAGATGAACTGCTGTCCGGACGAATAATATAACCTTTGAATGGCTCTCGACCTGTTCATCAAAGCAACCGGCTTATGAAATCATCGTCTGGCTCATCAAAAACGAGATGGAAAAAGCGCCAGAGAATTACAGGGGCCGAGGCACCAACGGCAGCTTTCACAACGAGTCCGTCTGTTCTAATTTATTCCTGCTGGACTTTGCTTGTTAAAAATAGCATGGACGAGAGAGATGATGATGGTGCATGTGTGTGTATAGTAGTAGTTAGTTTTCCCATGTGCGTCTGGCGTGTTTGTGTATAAAATCGAATTGGACCCGCGCTTGTTCGATTTTCGGACTCTCGGAATAAATTATATGACGAGTTTCTGTTATTCCTCTCACGCTTCGTGATTTATAAATCGAATATATAAAACAAAAAATATACATTCCAAGCGTAATGGAGTTTGACCAGCGCGTGGAGATTTTTTTATGTAAATAGATATAGACGCGCGATAGTTGTTTTTTTTATATTCGGCCAGCCACACCCTACTTAGTCGCGGCTAATTATTTAAATTGTCTGTGTAACTTGTTGAACCTGTGCCAGAGCAAAATGCGCGGGAGGTCCATTCGGCACTCTTTCCACTTTGGTGGCGCGTCGTTTTCAACTTTTGACTGACACTTTTAGCTTTTACAGTGTGTCCGATTGTTTGTTGGCAGACTAGTTGATTATCAAAGAAGTCGAATGCCTCCTGAATACTTGTTTTGTAAAGGTATTTATAATGATAGGGGTTTGTGACGAGCTTCTGTTAAATTTTTTTCTGCTAGAGTTTCTGGGCGGTTAACTTTGTTAATTGATATCCGTATGAGTTCTTCATATTTTATAATATTCCAAATTCTCTTCAAAAAAATCTCCTAAACTTCTCTCGAAAATAAAAAGGGAATATATACTTAGTTTATAGATTTTACCTTTTAAATCAATTTCTATAGTAAATAGAGATTGACTTCTTGAAACTTAACACAACAATGACAATATAAAAAAACAGCAATAAAATCTTTTAGGCTTCAGTGTGGACTTTAAGTTAATAATTTTTTATTTTGACCACACAAAACTATTCACGAGGCCAAATTACCATCTCAAATTGACAAGAGATTTTTTTAAAAAAAAATTACATCTAGTTTTGTAGATAATTAATTTAAGATTGTCTTGGTTAAATTGAATTTCTTCAATAGTGTAAAGAGAAGCTTAAAACCTGCTATGTGCAAATTTCTAAAAACACCTTTATTTGATTTAATAATAAGATTCCACTGGCTTCAGACATTACTAACAAGCAAAGCTAAAAACTGAAAAGGTTAAGAGCAAAATTTTTGCACCGGAGGCATGAAGCACTGCTGTCAGTGCAGATAAAATTTTAAGCACAACCAGAAATGAAATTTTCAGCATCTCCCCATCTATAAAAACAGCCCTAAAACAAAAATTCTTTGATGAGCGCCAGTCAAATTTCCGCCACGGGACACGGGAACTTTTCGAGCAGTGCCGACGAGAGGTCGTAAAAATTTTACGCCCGTGTGTGTTTCCAACTCGCGCACACGTGATAATTTTTCGTCTAAAGAGAGACAGATGAGCGGACACGCGTTTTATCAGCATTAACGAGAGAGACATTCGTCGCATGAAATTTGGTGCTGCGATTCGAAAGGGGCCAAGGCCGTTCACTCGCAAGTTGGCAAAGATTTTTATGTGTTCACATACCCCGCTAATGGCCATTTTCAATTTGTTCTCTCTCCGGTTATAAATGTCTTTTTAACTGGAATATAATAATAGCTGCAAATATGCTTGATATGGGCGTTGCTTTTTAAGCCCGTTGCGATTATTAAAAGAGTGTAATTTCGGGGTCCCTTCTTTTGTCTAATTTATATCAGCATCTCTCTCTTTCTCTCCGGCGCAGGGGCGTGTGTTTTGTTTTGTGATCCGGCTGCTTGGCTGCGATGTGTATATTTCGAAAGACAAAAGAAGTTTTTGGAGCTGAGATGACGAGCTGCCGCGAGAGGAAACTCATCAACCCTCTGGTTGTTTATAAGTAGAGTGAAAAAGGGTAGCCCCGTGATAATAACACGCTCTCTGCATGCCTGTGACTTTGAGACCACTTATTATCTTAGGGAGCGGAAAATTAGTAAAATATAAAGCTTATGCTCTGTTCTGGAATCAAATGTAAGCAATAAGTTGCACTATAAAGATGT